TCTGGGACCAGACTCCAGATAAGTTCCAGAAAGCTTCCCTAAGGAGTTCACAGGCAAACCCTAACCATCTCAACTGAACTTCTCATCCTCACCCCCACCTGGCCCCACCTTCTTCCTCTTCTATGGCTCCTAAGCTCAGGAAGGACCCCAGTGCCCAGTTAACTCAGTCAGGACCTGGGCATCATCTTTAATCTGCCCCACCAGTACTACACTCCCAAATCTGATGAGCTTCTGAGATTTCTTTTCTAAATTCTCATGCCATCTGGAAAAAGTTATTTTGTAAAAGACAGATGATGTACATTAAAGTGCTTTGGCCAGAGTATGTACTCTGAAAAGATTTGCCTGCTTTCTTCTTTTGGAGGAAGAGATCTGAGACATCACAAGCTCATGAAAGCACCACCACACTATGTCCTGGCTGCCAGTGCCACCAGCTTGCCCTGTCCCAGGCCAGGCCCACGAGGGGACGTGCTCAGTTCAGTTCTGTGCCCCTCCTTTGGTCTTGTTGTCCACCTTGTAGTCATGCCCTGTTCTTTGTTCTCTTTGCTGTGCTAGGATTTTGACCAGAGGCCAAGTGGGACCATGAGAGAAGACAGTTTTCTTCTTGCCTTGGTCAGAAGAGAACTCAAGTCGCATCTTCTGAGTCCTGGTGTACTAGACAAGCTTCTGAAGGAACTGAAGATCCTGGACCCCATCTCCTCAGGGTTTCTTCTCCAGTCTCAGTTGAGCCATCTCTTCTTGAAGCATCAAGTCCCTCTACAGTTACCAACAGTCAAGATCCTTTGCCAGAGATTTTCCAGGAGGGGCTCTCCTGAAATGGTACAGCCATCTTGCTATTTTAAATGTGGGTTCTTTTTGTTTCTTTTACATGTACCTGACAGAGTAATAGAATTAAGGGGTTTCTCCTTTCTTGAAAATTAACTTTACTATTGACCCCTAAGATAAAAAGCTTATTTATATTCATATGCAGACATTTCTAGTTAGAATGGACTGGACGGGAAAATAGACTTAGGCCTTTTAGCTCTGTTGAATTTCTCTTTAAAGGACTTTCCCGGCCCAACTATCATTGTCTACTCTTAACACAGATCACGTAGTTACAGAATCAAGATAATGGGCCCACTTGGGTCTATTCATAAACTGGTTCATTTTGTGGATCCCGAGGTGAGAACTAGTCTAAGATGTTCTAGGCATCATCACAGGTCCCCAGAGAGTTAGAGGTGGGAGGGTGTTGTTGAAATATAATCCACCACCACCATATTACTGATAAAGAAACTGAGGCTCAGAGGATGTCAAAGAACTTGCTCAGGGCTCCCGGGAAATTAATGGCAAATCCAAGTTTGAGATGCCAGTTCCCCAATGACAACATGAAGGTTCTTTGGAAACTGCACTTCCCAACGTCAAACTTGTGGTTGAATACCAATCATGGTCCAAGTGTAGCCAAATTTAGGGACCCAGAGGAGAGTACCCTCAAACAGGAAGAAGTAATAGCAATGGGCAAATCATTAGTGAGCCGGTATTGATAGCAAGACAATAGACAGACTGTGCAAACCTTGAAAAATAAGGCCTTGGCTTTAACCCTAATTCCGCCAGCATCAGCTCTGTGATGTGGAATACCTTCTACTTAATTTCTCTGGTGCCTCAGTGATTTCATCTGGAAAACCAGGCCAGAGCTGATTCATAGACATAGTCTGGAGATTTAGTAATCTGGTGAAAGCAAACAAATAGCTCAGTTGTCTATTTATTAGAAGTATGTAGCAATGCAATGTTAATTTACTAGTGCAACCCGTGTGAATCTCCACTTAGACCAAACTTCTGGCCTGACCTAGTTTCTATCGGGGACCCTCTTTATCCTCCTTCCCCAACTTCTTCCCCCTCCCACGACCCTGGACCTATCTGTGCACCACAAGCCCTAGCATTTCATCCCTCACAGCCATGGAAGTGGACGATATTCTTTCAGTTCTTTCTTAGGTAGGAAGAAGTCTTGGGATTTTTCACCTAGCCAGATAAATTCTTGTCTTCATATTATCTGAATCTATCTGTGGAATATACTCAATATATCTACTATAAATATATAAAAAATAATGAGGAAGAGAGAAAGAGAGAAATGGCATACAGGTGAGGTTACACTCTAGTTAACAACCCAAAAATTTTAGTGACTTAAGACAACAAAAGTTTATTTCACTCACATCACAATTCCATACTGTCAGCCACAAGCCCCTCTCGACTGCTGTTTTCGTAGTTCCAGAACCCAGGCTGACGAAATCGCTACTCTAGGATATTTTTGGACATGATGGCAGAAAAGAAGGTTCTCATGTCAGCAGCTTGCCCTCCACCCAGAAGTGGTCGTGTCACCTCTACACACAAACCATACCTGGTCACATGACCGTGTCCAAGCACGAGGCAACCAGGAAGTCCAATTTTACCCTCTGTGTAGAAGGGAGAGTAATAGGAATATGTGGTAGAAACCACAAATGATTAGGATACTATATTTTTAAAGTGGTTTTTAGAAGTTTTAATGGTAAAACTGTTTCAAATACACTGATTTCAGTGGGAGCTTCTTTCCCTTACATGCAAATTAAATGAGGATATTTTATTTTATATTGAATTTTCAGGTGAATTATGGAAAGCTACTCCTGTTTTTAAGAGGTGCAGCTTCAGATAACTTACAGCAAAGCAAAACCACTGCAGACAGCAATCTGGGGCACCCTGAGCATCTCAGCGATCACAGACAGAGGTACCGTTCTTCCCCCAGTGGGCGTATTGTTTCTAGGTGTCCTAGTCAATTTGGGCTGCTACAGAGAAAAAGTACCATAGCAGAGTGGCTTATAAAGAATGGAAATTTACATCTCCCTGTTCTGGGTGCGGAAAATCCAAGATCCGGGTGCCAGCGTGCCGGGGAGGGCCCTTCCTGGGTTGCAGACTGCCGACTTCTCTCTCTGTCCTCCCTCCCGGGGCAGAAAGAGAGCAGCCCAGCTCTTTGGCCACTCTTATAAGGGCACTGCGGTTGTTTGACTGTGTTCCCCAAAGTCCATGTGTTGGAAACTTAATCCCCAAAGCAACAGTATTTGGAGATGGCACCAAGCAAGAGGTGCTTAGCTCATAGGCGCTACCTTTAATGAACAGATGAATGTCATTATCACAGGAGTGAGTGAGTTACTAAGGGAAGGGGCTTGTTATAAAATTAGGTTCAATTCTTGCTCTCGTCCTCTCTGGCTCTTCCACCTTCCACCATGGATTGAGGCACTAAAAAGGCCCTCACCAGAGATGAGCCCCTCAACCTGGGACTTCCCATCTTCTAGAATGATAAGAAATAAATGTCTGTTCCTTACAGGTATGAATGACCCATTCTCAGGTATTTGGTTACAGCAACACAAAACACAGGCCCCTCCTGAAGGCTCTAGCCTCGTGACTGATCACCTCCCAAAGGCCCTGCCTACTTATACCATCACACCGGGATTAGGGTTTCAACACGGGAACTTTGGTGGAAGGGGAGAGAAACATTTAGTTCGTAACACTAGATTTCTAGAGCTGGCAGGGACCCAGGAGGCATTCACTTTAAAATCTCACCCAGAGCAGAATCACTTTGCTCCCCATCAACACTTGGCTTGTGCTTTAATGCTTAGACTCTGACTCTCTCTCCCTTTTTCTCTCTCGGACCACCGCAGTAAGTTATTTGCAGCAATTGCATATGTTTCTTAACATCAAGCATGTGTCTTTATGAAGTCGCTGTGTGAAAATGAAAAGCCTCATTATGAAATGAGAAATGATTGTGTATGAGCGGAGAGCTCATTTATAAAGTGTGATTTCAGAAATATGTTCACTCAGTGAACTCCTGTGTTACGGGCGTTAGCAAAGAAAGGTTTGAGGTACGAGAATGAATAAACCCTTCATATGATCACAGGGGAAAGAAATGACTCAAATAAAAACAGCGTGGAAGGAATATCACTGGAGAGGAAGCCCAGTGACGTGGGATTGTCACCAAGGAAAGTGACCAATTGCAGTGGCGAGGAGTAGTCGCTATTGTAGAAACCTGGGCTTAACTCTTATCTCTGGCACTTAGTGGCTGTGTGGCCTTGGCGTTCTACTTAACCTTTCTGTGCTTCTGTTCTCTAGCTATAAAATGTGCATAATAGGCTTCCCGTCCCTGATTTGTGGGAGTAACAGAGTCAATATATGCAGAATTCTTTCAACTTCAGATTAATACGAGGGTACAAATGATTCGGTTACAGTGTTTGCATTGGTTAGGTAAAATCCAAGTCTTAGTTGAGTCCTTCACCAAGAGGTGTGCCATGGACCCTGACATTGTGCCTGTCAGGTGGGAGCTGACCAGTCCCCCCAACTTGATCTTGACTAAGTTTTTGTCTTGTGTGGGTATTTGTTCATCTACTGGCTTCATATTAGCATTGAATACGTTGGACACTTGCTTTTCCATTCTTATGATACTTACTAAGGAGAATGTTCTTCAACTCCATCCAGGTTAATATGAAAGATGTAAAGTCTCCATCTTTTTATGGCTGAATAATATTCCATGGTATACACATACCACCGTTTATTCATCTATCCATGGGGTGGTGGGTTGCACTTCATTGATTTCCAGTAGTAACTGAGTTGACAAATGCAAAGTTCTTAAAACTAGTGCTATTATTTTTAAACTATTGTTCCAAAAGACCCTCTTTTCTGTTATAGATAATGTGACATAGTGATTAAGAGCTATGGCACTTGAGTTTTTCCATCTAGAAAAAAGGCCAGATTTCTTGGGAAAATATCCTGGACCTGGTGTTGAACTTGATTCCCTTCTACAGTGTGTCTCTTTTGAGTTGGATACTTCATTCAACAAGCCTGCATTGAATTGAAGCTGCTTACCAGGAGCATTTTGCTGAACCCAGTGAATTCTGGGGTTGACAAGGCCCAGCCTCTCTTTCTAGGGCCCACAGTCCAAAGAAAATGCATCCACACATCACTCTGGGACCAAGTGTGACACCTGTGTGAGCTGCAGCCACACATCACGCTGAGACCGAGCGTGACACTCCTGTGTGAGCTGCAGCCACACGTCACACTGGGACCAAGTGTGACACTCCTGTGTGAGCTGTAGCCACACGTCACGCTGGGACCAAGCGTGACACCTGTGTGAGCTGCAGCCACATGTCATGCTGGGACCAAGTGTCTGACTGAGAGCCACAAAGCCTTGGAAGTCTCTAACGATCAGCCACCACCCTTCACATAATACAGACCATAAAATATGGCCCTGGGAGGTGATGGACCATGCAGGGGAGCACAGTGCCACTTGGTGGCAGATACAGTCTCATGAGTCCTAAACAGGACGCCTTCCCTGAACCCCAGACCAGGGCATAGCCACTCCCCTCCATAACAGTTATGGTATTTGTAATTATTTATTTAACATTTGAGGTTGGAAATAGCATCTTTCTTGGCCACCTCTGAGTCTAACACAGTTCCTGGCATGTGCGGGGTGCTTAATAAATATGGAAGTGGCACCTCTGATCACCTAAAGAGCTCACATCTTCTCCACTTCCAGGGAGACCAGGACATCTGCTCTATAAAAAAGGTGCCTGAAGAGATCATTCTGAGCTCGTCAGAGTTGTGCTGCTTTATACAAACCAGACAGTGTGTTTGTAGAAACGCAGGACGGATGGCCCGTAATAAAGCGAGGCTGTTTGTTAATTAACATGCTGCTCGGGAACCACACCCCCCCCTCGTGTTCTGTCAGGTAGAGCCTAAACGGACATCTCTGTGATGTTTTAAAAGGTTCCAGCATCGCCAGTGGCAGCAAGGGTGGCAACAGCTCTCATCAAAGTCAGACCAGATGAAAGGAACTGCAGCAACAGACCTTCTTAGAGACCCACCAGCTGCAGCAAATGGGTTCCATACAGCACCTGCCCACACAGTACTCAGTGTACTGAGCCAGGGGCCAAAGCCACACGAGTTCTTACCCCCCAGGAACTGGCATTGCAAGAAAAGAGGAAGGAAAACTTCTGATTCAAATCTGGGACAGAGACATCTGATTGGCAGAGGCTGGGTCATGTGTCCTGCAGCCAGGACGGGCTGGTAAAGAAAATACCTGGTACCCTCTGCTGCTACAGCAAGAGATGGGCCCTGTCCCATGAGCCGGAGAGCTCCCTGGATGGGAAGGGGGGTACAGAAGCTGGAGAATGAGATGAAGTCACGTCACCGTAACCACTATTCCTGCCCTGGACCAGACTTTTGGAAAATGTTATTTCTTATTAAGTAGTTCAGGAAAGTATAATTTAGGGCCAAAACTTGTGTAATAGTCACAGAGCCCCCCTCCTTCCAGAAAAAGAAATAACGTAAACTTTAAAAAAGTTGGATAAGTCTGAAACTAATCAATTCTAGGTACTGTACAAGATCTCCAGGAAATAGTAAGGAACAAAAGAGACTTGGCCTCATAGAGCAGTCTACTAAAGTCCAACTTTAAACAATAAATAGAGATGTGATTGTAATTTGAAGGAGACTTAGTTATTAAGGAAAAAGGCAAGGCATTCTGCAGAGCACACGCAGGTTGTCAGGCAGGGGTGTGTTAGAACCGACAGGAGGCCACCGTTGCACACCTCTTCCCACTCCTCATTTAGAGAGGTCACATTTGAAAACAGCCATGGTAGGAGTATTTACACCTCAGGAATTGGTAATGCAACCCATCAAGACTTTATCTTGGAGAGCTGCATATTAAAGATTTATTTACCTGCGAACCTGAGAAAGGATTGGGTAGAGGTTGGGGGATGTCACAGACTGGGCCTCTGGGGAATTTGACATTTATGTCGAGACAGTAGAAAATGGGAGGTTCACAGGGGAAATAATAGTTCAGCTGGATGTGGGGGGACAACTAAATTTGACTGTTTAATGAGTAAACATCTCAAAGTAGCTTCATAAAATAAATGTCATTTTTTTGCCTTGTTTTATAACTATTATTCACAGTGACAAGTAAGTTAGATCAACCATCGTAATAATTACATATATTTGCATGCAAGACTGTAAGTAAATAATTACTCCCAAACATTGCTGGGTTTTCCCGTACAAAAACCAAAGTCAAGGGGAGAAATTCATCTGATTTAGGATTTCTTCCGTAGAAGCTCCCTGGTGACAGGGCTCTGGCAGGAACTGCTTTGTTTGCTTTGCTTTGCTTGTGGCGATAGACAGCCTGGAAATCTGATTTGCCATCAGTCATTATTTGAGCTTAATAAAGGTAAGATTAAGCAGGTAAACTACTGTGATTTTTTTTCCTCTCAGCCTGGAATTTTATAAAGGCTAGAAAGATGGATTAAGACTTTTGGCTTAGGTTGTTGTCAAACTGGTTGTTGTCTCCTGGGGAAGAGACTATAGCGCTCGCTCAGATGGAAGAAGTTTGAGTTATCTATGGAATTTCCACGTGCAGTCCCAGGGCCAGGTCACTAAGCCTGAGAAGGCCTTGGCGACTGGGCTCTGGGGTTCCCAGTGTGCAGCAGAGTTGAGAGACGCACATGAGGACATGCAGCTGCTTTCAGCGGGCCACCTGCTCATGGCCTGTGTCTTGCCCCCCACCCCCCACCAGTGCTCCACCTCACGACTCCAGCTCAAGGTCAGAAGCCAACAAGAGCCTGCTGGAGCTTTTGAAGATGGCACTAAAGACAGCCAATGGCAAACTCAACACAGAGAACCTCGGTCTGAGTTTTCGAAAAGAAGATCACTCGTTCTCTGGCTGTCTCCCTCCACCCAAGGTAACCAAAACGAGGTTCCAGACTTGTTTCTCTTTAAAGGCTATTTTAGGGCACTGGGTCTGTGGTGGTCAGGCATGGGGACACCTTATTATGCATTCTGCCTGTGCAATGCATTAGATAATTGTGTGTTCTGTGCCGAGAGGAGAAAAACAAAGTAGAAAAGGGAATTGTGAAAGCGGTCTAGGAATTTCTTAAATTGGCCTATGTTTTATGTTAATAATAGAGACTCTGACAATACCCAAATAATATTTTGCGATGGAAAACAACTATTTTTCCAAGGCCAAATGTTCCAATGAGATCAGCATGTGGCATCCCATTCCTCAGGAACATCAACTTCTAGGGGCTGACGTAATTTATTGCAGATAGAGGTTGGCCTGCAGTTTTGGAGCATTTATTAACTGTGCAGACGCATTGCTTTGAAGAGGATCAAGCGCCTATTAATTCATGGCTCTCCTGTAGCCAAACAAACCCAATCATAAGACTACGAGTGAAATAACAGTTGCCACTATTACTATAACCCGTTAATGGCACCTCATCACCTCCACACTTTGCTGAGCTCTTACTAAGGGCCAAGCACTGTGCTACATTGGTATAATCAACTGTGCTAAGGCAAGACTTAGGTCTGTGTGCGTGTACTTCACAAGCAAGCGTGTGTCATAAGAAAGAGAGAGAGCGCGCGCCCAGGGAGGGAGCATCCATGGGTCAGAAGTGGTCCATGCTGTGCTCAGGAGAAGATCCCCAGAAGTAGGATAAGCAAGATAAGTTCTCGGCTGGATTAGAAGCCACGTAACAGAGTGGTGAAGCTCGAATGTTCTCAGATGATACTCCTAGAATGGAATATAAAAAACTTGAAAATTAAAATATATTTACTAAAGTTCTTTGTTTCTCAGATTTTCAGCTGGGAAAACTTAGTTCCAAATACCTCCCTCCTGTGTGTGTTGTGAGGATTAAGTGAGATGAATATGAATATTTGAAGGTATTAGCATATTATCTGATTCACAAGGCCTCACTAAATAGTCATTTTCTTTCTTGTTTTTTGTTTTTGTTTTTTTTTTTTTAAATCAGTGTTGGTGAAGTTCTCACATCAAAACAGCCTGAAGGAGAGAATCTTTCCCATGATTAAGGGATGGGCACCCAGGGCACTGGCTATCAGGACAGACATTGAATATTCTTCCCCGCCTCCCCCCACCACAGCTGGTCCTGAAAGCTTAACTTTGTGGTTCAGATCCAAGGATAAGGGGCATATTTTCCTTGAAGCTGGTCTGCATTTTGTGAGCCATCTGGCATCTCTTAAGACATCTGGAACTCACTCAAAGTATATTATAGTTCTTGGAGGCATGTAAAATAGAATTCTGTTTCCCCAGAACATGAGGCAAATTGAGGCCCAAGGGATATTGGACACAGGAAGCAGCAACGGTAACTCCCCACCCACCTTATTTCCAGACACAGGACTTCAGAGTGGGCTGGGAAAGCCCGTGTCTGAGTTAGAAGGGTTGTTCTTTTGTTGTTGTTTTGTTTGTTTGTTTGTTTGTGAGCAACAGCTCTTCATCTCGTTGGGGTGCAGGCAAAAGAATCACAGAACTTCTTGAGTTTCCCATGCAAGCTATGCACGCTCTCTGCCCAGAAAAAAAATAAAATTAAAATTAAAGCATATCTACACAGTCACCACTGCAGAGGGTTCACAGATAGATCGTCTGTAGTTTCCAAGATAACTGAAACTAAGTCTTAAAGGATAATCTATAGGTCTTGTCACTCAAATCAGCAGAATTTTGACCATTCACAAAGAACAGTACAGAAATGAGTCACATATCTGTCATCCTCCTTCTGAGGACTCACTCATCCTGCCCGTCTAGCCCGTCTTTAATGCAGGATGGCTTCTTTAGGGACGGCTGAGGCAATGTGGATCTACCTAAATTTACCTGCTAACAACACTGACCATGACTCAAGTCAGGTACAGACTCAGTAGGGCTTCAGAACCTAAGAAATTCCCAGCACACAGGCTCACTTCTTCACCTCCTGAATTCACACCTGCTCTCTGGTTCATATCACCTCCCCCTCCCTGACTGCTCCGAGACCCCGCCCCAGGAAGACCTTGCTGGGACACAGGTTGTCCTCCCCCTGATCACTCTTCTTCCTTTCCACTCAGCTCCCTTGTTATCATCTGGAGGGAGGCCCATGGCTGAGATAGCCCAGGTTTGTGAACGTGAAGTTCATTCTTGGGGCAAGACTTCAAACCCGTTTAGTGAGCCAGGACTATAAGACCTTCTGCAGTGGGTCGGGCCCCTTTCTCATATTTAGTTATTTCTATAGCTGTCCACTCTGCCCTAAAACTAGAACAAGGGCTTCTGCTAACTTAGAATCATTCCCCTCCTCCAGCACAATAGCTGTTGACCTGACCTGTGTGACACATTGACACCATCCCCGCACCTGTGCTCTGGGCACGTGACAGGCACTGATCCCAACAGACTTTTATGCTTTAGTTCCTGATTTCTCCAGCAGCTCAGGGGAAAGGCATCATTTCAAACAAGTCATCACAATTCTGGGCGAGAAGGCAGTGATGACAGTAACTTTGAACATGGAGGGGGACGCCAGTGTAGCCTAATTCTGAAAGCTCTCCAGACAAGATAAGGCAAACACTGGATCCAAGAGGACAGGCAAGTTTGGCAAAGAATGGGGGTGGGGTGGGGCCCAGAAACAGCAGAGAGGGGAGAGGGGTTCCAGGTAAAAGGAACAATGTGAAATTGTGCCCTGTGTAGAGGGCGTGGCTGATTCCGGAGACTGGAAGGCCCTGCTCTCATTGACATGAGTGGAAAGTAGGAGCCGGTGTGTGAAGGATCTTTCTAAGGAGTGGAAGTTTCCTCCTGGAAGTCCAAAGAAATCGCTAAAGGATAATAAGTGAGTAAATGATACGCTCAAGTTTAAAATTTGAACAAAAGAGCATTGTAATAGAATTTGGAGAAATGATTAGGAGTAGACAGATTGAGAGACAGATAGACCCTTTAAAAGGCTGTTTCACTAATCCAGGCAGGGAATTATGAGGGTTTAAACCAGCTAACCTGTTCCTGATGTCTGTACACTGATTTTGTGAGGACTTGTTTTTATCTGTGGTGTCAGATATCACAAAAAGTATGTAAGGACTTTTGTTGTTGTTGTTGATCAGCTTTTCTTAGTGTTTATTTCAGTGTGGCCCAACACAACTCTTCTTACAATCTACAGCAGAGAAAAAATAATTAGACAGCCCTGATTTAAAGTAAGTAACAGAAGAAATGGAGACACTAAGGAAGCAGAAAAGCAGGTTTTGACGACTAGCTGGATGGGGGTCCAGAATTAGGAGGAGTCAGCAACAGCTCCCAAGGGGCTGGCTCTGGCGACTTGGGGAATGGTGGTGCCATTCTCTGAGATGGGAAACAGAAAAGGAGTGATGGGGCCGGTGGAGGAACAAATGAGGGGTGCAGTTTTGAACATGTTGATCTGGGTAGAAAGAATTCATTGAATTTAAAACCACGAACGTTTCCAGGAACTCGGTAAAAAGAGTTTCAGCAAAGTGGTGGGGTTAAAATTCAAAGGGAGCTCCACCAGGGGAAAGAGATCTCTTTTGTGGAATTACATGTCACGTTGAATTACATAGATATTTACTTCTAATTAAAAATAGTTTCTTATTTAAAAAAAGAAACTGCATGTAAATATTTTCTTCCTACGGGTCATCATTACAAAAAATATTCATGCTTTAAAGGATTTTAATGATAATCCTGAATCAGATGAAATTGCTGTGATTTTTGGGTGTTTCTGTCCCTTCCCTACAACTGTCAGTCTCGGTTCTCAGCGGCTGTCAATCAGTCAGCCCCTAGGAACCCCGTGTTCTATTCTGATCCGCTCTTCACTGTAGCCTGGAGCAAAATTCAATGTAGCCAGAAGTAAGTGATCTATTTTTAGAATAACCTCTTAATGTTGATGTTCAAAAACACATCAATCTGCTCTAATCATGAGGATAATTTAATTCTTATTTATGGAGTAAATGGTATTCTGTGACCAATTCCTTCCACTCTTAACTCTATTTTTTGCTAACCTCCACTTACACACACACCACTCTTCACGGACTGCCACTCATTCATTCACTTCCTTCTTCATCCATATTTTCATTTATTCAACAATTATTGATCCCTTACTTTTCAGTACTGTCCTAGGCAATAGTGATAAAAAAAATGCATGTAGCCCAGGCCCAGCCCTGAGTAAGCCACTGCCTTGTAGAGACACAGCAAGTAACAGATAGTCACTGCCCAGCCTGCAAGGCAGGGTAAAAGGAGAGGTGCGCGGACGTTGTCAGAGCAGAGTCCATTCCTGGAGAGCAACCTGCTCTTTCTGACACATTAATTACACACACTCTTCTGGAAAACTCCAATTTTTTTTTTAATGTTTCAAATCAATCTTTTTTCACTCTTTTAAGCTTCCCTGATATTAGTCCTCTACACCTAGTGTTTCTTTCTTTCTTTCTTTCTTTCTTTTTTTTTTTTTGAGGCATAGGCTCACTCTGTCACCATGGGCAGAGTGCAATGGTGTCATCATAGCTCACAGCAACCTCAAACTCTTGGGCTCAAAAACAATCCTCCTACCTCAACCTCCCAAGTAGCTGGGACTGCAGGCACCTGCCACTATCCCCAGCTAGTTTTTTCTATTTTTAGTAGAGACAGAATCTCACCCTTGCTCAGGCTGGTTTGGAACTCCCGAGCTCAAAATGTGCCTGTCTTGGCCTCCCAGAGTGCTAGGATTCCCGGTGTGGGCCACCGCAGTTGGCCAACATGCAGTTTCCAAAGCCAAATTTGCTGTCTTTCCTTCCAGACACAAATGGGGATGAACTTTTTCTTGCCATTTTAAAATGTAGGTGTTATGATTATTCAAATATGAGGAGACAAACTTATCAGGAGACAATTGCCATTGAAAAGACAATTTTCTGTCACATCTGCCGAGAGGAGGGAACAGGCTACACCACACAGGGCCACCAGGGAAGAAACGGGGTGGGTGAGAAGGTAGAAGGGGTGAGGAGGAAATGAGGGTGCAGCCTTTAATGTGGGCTTCTCGGGCAGGAAGGGACACGCGGGGTAAGCAGGCTTAGGACTGGCTGGTTTGAACAACTTCAGGGGCTCGGCCCAGGCCCTGGGCTGATTACAGCAAGGGAATAGTGACCTCATCAGAGCCCAGATCAGGAGGTGCCTGGGCTAGTGGCTTTGGACACTAGTCCAAAGTCCACAAGTTGTTTTGCACGGGAAAGGCACACTTTCAGGGAAGATCAACAAAGCTCCAGGATGTTAAAGCATCAGCACAAAAAGGTACACTTAACACAGCCACCCTACCCAACATCCTCTCAAGATAGTAACAGTTGCTACGACTACAGTTTAAGTATCTCTGAGACCAAAAGTGTTTTGGACTTCAAATTTTTGGATTTGGAATATCCCCATACACATACTGAGCTGTCTCAGAGCGAGGACTCAAGCCTCCCTAAAGATGAAATTCATTTATGTTTCATATTAACTTTATACACATAGCCTGAAGGTAATTTTACGTACTATTTTTTAATAATTTAGTGCATGAAACAAAGTTTGTGTTAAGTACCACCTACGTGTGAAATTTCCCACTTGTAGTTTCATGTCCATGCTCAAAAAGCTTCAGATTTTGGATGGTCCTATTAGGGATGTTCAGTGTGTAGTTAGGTGTAGACTAAAGAGCTGTTTAATAGCCACCATTTTATTTATTTATTTAAATAGCTATTATTAGAAATTTCTAATTTAGTGTTTGGACTAACTTAG